TTTCCCTAAACAATAAAACCATATTTATAAATAAACAAACCCAGGAGGGTGGTATTTAACATCAGGCGGGAAGAGTGAGACCTGGGGCCAGTCACACAGCCCCTTGGGGCTTCAGCTGCAGCACCTGCACCTGAATGATGGCGCTTTCTCCACAGTCCAACGACCTGTCCATCAAAGCAGCCGAAGCTGTTGCCCAGTAACAAGGGAGGCGCGGGAAAGCTGGGCTCTGTTCTGATGTCCTCGATGGCGCCAGACAGAGAGAAGAGCATCTGCTCACTGCCCAGCAGCTTCCTCAGAATCAGAGGCCCCAGCAGGTGAGGGAGTCAGGCCTCACAATTAGACTCTGGCCCCCAATTCCACCTGCTCCAGGACTGAGGTCGGGACGGGGTGGAGGTCTTGGCTGCACTGCGCTTTATGGCCACAAGAGGGCTCACAGCTCACAAACGTTTCTTTCCATAAATCTTCATGTTCTTTTTTGACTGTGTCTCATTGAAGCGTTTGAAAAATTGCTATTTAATTATGCACGATTTCTGGACAATTGTAAGCACTTCTGTGATAGCTACACATTAATTTTGGCACCTTAATCTTATGAATGCTTAAAGGCGTTTTCTCATGCAGAGCAATTCAGATGCTAATGATTAATTCAAAGGATTGTTTTTAGAATTTCCTGGAGCTTTTTCCTTTGAAATGAAACTTCCTCAGTAAAAGTTTCCTTTCCTCGTGCTCTCGATCACCCATTGGGGTCACGTTCACAGTGGCAATTGTGCTCTCGCTGTCGCGCCAAGTTCCTGTCAGGCACCTGCATGAGCATCGAGTCCTGCTTATTGATTCGCTGCACAGCCCTCCAGGTCAAGCTGGAAAAAAGGAAAAAGAGGAATCTACAGCAGCAGATTTGGAAGCGTCACTGTGCAACAGGGTTCACGCTGAGATGTCAGGTTGGCACAAGCACAGGCAGGGAAACGACGCAGGCCCAGCCCTTGCTCAGATGGGGAAAACGCCCCGTGGTCATGGTGACTCCTGTTCATGCGAGGTCAGCAGGCAGCCTTGAGTGCCCTCCCCCCATCAGGCTCGCTTTCCTGCCCTGGCTCCTCTGAGCAGCGGCCATGCTAAGCAGGTGCTCAGGTGGTCACGGGCAGAGGTTCCCAGCCACGTACTCACCCAGCAGCATGCGGCCGTGGCGTTGGCCATGCACCTCCATCACGTATAATAAGGGTCTGCCGTCAGGATGGGATTGGGGCTCAGTCTCCAGAGTAGCGGGGCCTTTGCAGGAGGCGGTGATGCCGACCCCCAGAAGCAAGGCCTTGAGAGCAGATGTCTTCAGTGCTCAGCCACCTCATGAGAGGCATGTTGGTTTCCCTCTGTCGTGAACGCCTTGCTGGCTGTCTCATCCTTCGGCACCCGGCCCGCTGGTCCCCAGGACCTCTGCGACCTGATGCAGGAGCCCCTTTGTTTGGCCTCAGCGGGTGGTTCTCTCCTGCGGCCACAGTGTACTTCCTGCTGCTTAGATCTTACTTGTTCTTGCTTGTTTCTTGGTGGTGGTTTGTTGTTGTTGCTTGGAGTCTGGCTCTTTGTCTTTTCTGTCCATGTTATAAAATCCATCTAAAGAATTGCTTGTTAAGTTAGTTAGCTTTGGTTTCTGTTCTATATGAACAAGTCCCTCAATGTAGCTACTTTTCTCACTTCTCAATTCTTTTTTTCTCATCAGAGACAGTGTTTTTTTTAAATATATTTTTATTGATTTCAAAGAGGAAGGTGAGAGAGAGAACATCAATGATGAGAGAGAATCATTGATCAGCTGCCTCCTGCACACCCCACATTGGGGATTGAGCCTGCAACCCGGGCCTGTGCCCTTGCGCAGAATTGACCTGGGACCCTTCAGTCTGCAGGCTGACACTCTATCCACTGAGCCAAACAGGCCAGGGCAGACCGAGTTATCTTTTTTGCTCTTCTTGCCCAGGGCTGGCTCCACCCTCCTTTTGTCTCCTGCAGATCACTTCCTGAAGCTAAAACCTCAGCACCTCCCCTGAATTTAAGAAACCTTCCAGCCAGCACCTCCTCCCTGGCTCTTCCTGTGGCTGTTCATCTTCAGGTCCACATGACCCCTCTTCCTGGAAGCACAGAGCTTGGGACAGAGGGATTCAAGTCCCCAGGTTCAACTCCTGCCTCCACTGTTTACTCCTATGTGACTTTGTGCCCAGTTCTTAATTTCTTTGTATCTCAAATTCCTCATCTGAACAATGGGCATAATAATATACAGGTTATACTGTTGAGTAAGAATTAAGTTAATGAAGAATGTAAAGTTCCTAAGACAATGCTTGGCTATAGCGAATGCTGAGAAACAATAGCTATTATTGCCTTGGCTAGTGTTGCTCAGTGGGTTGGGCGTCATCCCGTGCACCGAAGGGGTTGCTGCTTTGATTCCCGATCAGGGCACATGCCTGGGTTTCAGGCTCCATCCTGGTGGGGGCCAGGCAGGAGGCAGTTGATTGATGCTTTGCTCTCTCATCGATGTTTCTCTCCCTCTCCCTTCCTCTCTGTCGAAAAATCACTAAAATGTATTTAAAAAAAAGAATCAAC